GATTTTACAGTTCCACTCGGGAATAAACGACAAAAAACAAGTATGTTGATAGAATTTAACTATGGCCTAACTGTGGCTTATTTAAACTGCCTGAAAATGCGTCATGTAACTTGTAATTTCTAAGAAATCTCTATAGCTCGCTTTGCTAAATTAAACAATTTTTGAGCTAAATTAAACAAATTTTGCCAGAGAGACATTTGATGATAGAAGTATCGGTAAGCAAACAACAGGCAAACTTTTTTGAAAGGTAGGCTTGTGTTTTTAAGCGTAAAAATTCAGCATCAACCATAGTTCAGCGACATTGATGAAGTGTGAATGTAGTATTAAAAAACCTTTTTCTCACTTCCTTTCCACTGGACGGTATGCGCTATCCTCAATCTCGCGTGCCAAAAGACCTAAAAGCTTGAGGATGCTTAGTTGCCTAAACAGTTTTGGAAGAATCTAGCCATATATTAAGCAGACATTCCTTAAGTAATACTAGTTACGAAGGATTTACTTTGTATCTTTGAGAACGACGAACATGTCCGAAATGTTTGTGCCACTTGTCAATGAGTGAAGAATTTCATCTGAGAGACGCAGTCAGAAGCCAAATTTGGACTATAATCTGAAGAACAATTATTCTTCTTCTTCTTCTAATAGCTCTCACCATTACTGGTTAGGCTGGCTGCACTAGCTATAAGGGAAAGACGTTTCCATGCTGTTCAATTCAACATCATCATCGATAGTAATAGAAGTCATTCCTTTTTCCATCATCTATATCGCTGGTCATTTTATATGTTCAAAATTTTTTCCAACTATTAGTCCAGGTCGTGATTGGTCTTTTTCGCTTTTGATGCCAACAGGATTTAGCAAGTAAAGAAATATATGTGATAGGAGACTTCTGTGATAGGAGACGAAGAACCAAGAAGGTGGTGCTCTATGATAGTACTAATACAAGTGGTATTTGAACAGAGGTGAATACGACCATGTGAGATTTTATCCAGTGGGCGAATCTAAAAAATGTATCTTATGTATCTTAGACATGAGTAGTCAAAGACAAATAAGTTCTTAATATTCTCCACTCTTATTGGCCATGTCTCGCAGCCATATAGCAAGATCGAACGAATTGTTGCTATATAGAGGCTGGCTTTCATTTTTATGGTGATTTTTATGGTGGCGATGGCTCCATAAAGGTTTCATCAACCGGAGAAGCACGTTTCTAGCTGTCATAATCCAGGTTACAATTTCTTCCTTTGCTTGGCCATTTGGGAATAGAGTGGATCCAAGATATAAAACCAGGCGTTTTCTCAACTAGCAATGAATAAAATAGGTATTTTATCAGCCTCTTATATATAAAACGAAAATGCTTTCGTTTTATTTACAGTGATCCTGGGTCTGATTCTCTTTGCAATTGTACGAAACGCCTGTCGAACGCCAAGGCCTATAATGAGTGGTCATTGGCCAAATTTATATATATATATATATATTGATGCTCCATTCCATTGATTGCTTGAATTTGTTCTAGCGGTCGGTTTTTGTTATCTTTGTCATGGTATGATGCTGGTTTCGGCACCAGTGTCCAGTAGGAATATTTTTATCAATAATGAAAAAGAGACATGGAGAGTGAGGAACAATGTTTGTTGCCATTAGTGCAGGGTGGTGTACTCTTTGCCCTTTCTCCGAATCTTTACTACCAACATAGCCTTTCATATTATTATTTGGAACGTTTGAGATTATTTGAGAAATTGATATTTTTTTGAAGCGAAATTTAAATTTGAATTTATTCAAATCTCTGTTCATCAATTTCATAAAGGAGAAATGTTTACAAGTCAATATTCCAGCTGTTTCCAGAATTTTGTCTGCAAGTTTGACTGCGTGCAAACATAACGTAAGAGTGTCACTCTTGTATTGTCTAAACCAATACTGGCGGGAAGAGGATGAAAAAATAGTGGTTGCAATAGAACGTGGTCAATTTTCGCCAATTTGTCAGGAGTGCTTGAATACTTCTAAGGAACGTTTTGAGATGTATTTTTTATCACCGAATTCTTCAATGAGATAAAGTTTTCGTAAACGTCATCTCATAGATTCAGTGTATTTTGTAACAACCTTCATTAAAAATCCCATAGTGAAGTTCCATAGCTAAAAACGAATCTTGAAATAATCTTGAACTTCAGCAGCAATTGATCAACTATGTGGCCAAATTTAGTAAACGACCGGGTTATTTTACGAGCGAAATATAATTTCATACTATGGTTGATACGTTTTTGTTGAAAAAAGTGATCGAGAGCTTTGAAATTTAGCTTCATCATCAGGCATGACTGGAGTATAAAAAGTAATTAGTTTAGGTTCATTTTGTCCAAGTAACATAGCTTGATTGGCCTCGGCTGGTTTCATTTGTCTGCAAAAAATGTCTTTCATTTAGCCGTTTTTTCAGTATCGCGCCCCACTGAATAGTATGTTCTTGAATTCCCTAGTGTGGAGCGCGCCGCGCTATGGCACTAAAAACCCCTTAATATCTCTTTATCTCTTTAATGTGTTCCGTATTAAAGGTGGAACTAAAACAATGCAACAGGATTTGAAAGCGTTAGGAAAAGATAAGGATTTTAACAATATACTAAAGAATGCATGATCAAAATTCTACATACATGATTTTCGTTAGTGAAATAAAGATGGAAATCCCGTTAAGACTATCAAGGATCATCCCGCCTAATGAAGCTTTGAAATTTAGCTTCATCATCAGGCATGACTGGAGTATAAAAAGTAATTTAAAGTTTAGGCTGTCCAAGTTGTCCAAGTTTTTTTAAGCATTCACCATAATCGAAACCAGCTTTATAACAAGATCTGAGATATTATCGATACCTAGAAATACCACATCACCATTCGAATTTTTTAATGGCAAGTTTTCTCCTATTTTGCCAAGACCAGAGAATGGAACCTTTGATATTCAATGCGGATCGAAACATCCATATCATCCGACCAATAATGGCTTTCTTTGTAGAATTTCCTCAATTTCATTTCGTTCTTCTACGATTTTTTCCCCTGTATAATCCGAAAATTTCTGAAAAATTTTCATGAAATAGTTCTTTTTTTCCTTCATTTTGCTAATCCTCTTTAGCGTTATTCTTTTAATGATCACTTCGACTTATCTTTAGCCTCTAAAAGAGATGGATTGTAATATTTATAATCAATAAGGAAGAAAAGTTTATTGTCAGTTAATTTCCTGGCAAATTGATTTATTGCACATCTTCCTTTGAAATTTTTTATTTCATGGTTTTCTTTATGAAATAAATTATATAGAACTAACTTTTTCATTATCTTTTGCATTATGAAATTACACGAAGTCTATAAGAAAACTATTAGTTTACTTTGTATTCATTTGCACTGGCAACTGTTTGGACATGCGCATGATTTTGGAACAAATTTCAGGATTTTCTTACAGAAAGTTTATTAATGCTCATCTCTTTTTATCCCAAAATTTGAATACAAGAATATATAAAGTGATATGAAAATTCTGAAATAAGCTAAAATAGGAAATTTAGCACCGAGGATTCCAATTTTCATTCGAATACGTCGTTGAGAAGAGCAATTCAATTTCATCGTCGTTGCTGACTTCGCAAAACAACTCAAGTTTGTTATCATCGATTTTCTCTGTATCCTTAAATGAACCTGAATTGTTCATTCAATTTTCTGACCTTCTTATTCCTAGTCACTAAAATTTTTTGCCAGTTTGCTTTGATTGATTCGCCAAAAAAAAGCAATCAATTCGGTTAGTTCCTTTTATGATTCAATATTTATTTTATAGACAATTATATGAGAAAAACCGATTTTATTAAAATTTGCATTTTTAATCAATTTTTTCTTTTTAAAATTCATTATTTATGAATCTTTTTTAACAAAAAAAATAAGTAAATACCTGTGAAAAAAATAAATGCAAATTTGATATTCCAAAAGCATCTCAAATCTTTTGAAAACATTTTAAAAATTTTTTTACATCCTTTATTATTAGTCGACAAATTGCAATTTAAATTATATTGTAGACTTTTTTTGTAAAAATCTCGACTCAAAAAAATTTAAAAGGAAAACAAGTGAGATAGCGCAATGAGCAAGGCTCAATTTCCTTCAAAGTCGCAAAGCTTTAAACCCAAATGCGAATACCAATTCACTAATTCGATGGATTATGAACCTGAGATCTCATGAAGATGCGACGATTGTCCCCACACGCTTGCCACCTATCTTCTTTTAACAGCTGGTATTTTTGCTGGTTTGGCTCGATTCATTGGTGACTAGGCTAACGTTCTCAAATTTCCCAATCCAATACCATTCTCGAAAGTAACTGAAACCATTCTTTTTTCCTCCGTCTAAGCCCATAAATCATTGGGCTGTTTATGCATTCAAACTGTTTTTAACCATATTCTTTGACCTTCTTCTTCTTCTAACAGCTCTCACCATTGCTAGTTAGACTGGCTCCACTGGCTGTAAGAGTAGAGGTCTCCAAACTGCCCGGTCCGGCGCCATCGCTTGTAGTAATAGAAGCCATTCCTTTTTCCATCGTCTAAGTCCATATATCGCTGGTCTCCCTATACGTTCAAAATTTTTCCTGACTATATCAGTTCAGGTCTTGACTGGTCTTCCTCTTTAGCAAGTAACGAAATATGCGTCTACTCTTATAGTGGACGACGGTGAACGTGCCCTAACCAGCGAAGACGACGCTCTGTGATAACATTATTGATGTGGTATTTGGGCAAAGATGGATACAATCATGTGCGATTTTATCTGTTCGACAGATCCCGTAAGATGTATCTTAAACATGAGTGGTCAAAGGCTAACAGCTGCTTAATATCTTCCACTCTCATTGGCCATGTTTCATATGGTATGGCAGTGCATATTACCAAGTTTCCCCTAGTTGTCAAAAAAGACCACATCGGCATGTTCATGATCCGTGATACGTTATAGACTGATTTGTATACTGGGTGCCAACAACAATTGAAATAATCAAATATATTGCATAGATGAGATGAAACTTGGTCAAATAAACTAGTTCAAAAGGAGCACGTGTTTCAAAAGAGATAATGTTAATTTCCGGTGTATGCAAATATATACTGATATGCCGATAAAATGTTAAGTTTTAAAAATTATTTTTAGAAATTAAAAATTATTTAAAAATTGTTTTTAAAAAAAGTTTTGAAAATTCATTAGAATTCTTAAATAAAGAATTTTTTCTTGAGCACCATCGTACTGCATGACTTGCCAAAACAATGCCCTGTCAATCGAATCAAAAGAAGAGACAAAGTTGATGAAGCATGTAACGGTATAATGTCGATACATGAAGCGATACCCTTGTAATGTGAAAATTTAGGTAGCACAACTACCCTTTGTCCTAAATTGTGCTGGAATTGAATACAAGATTTGAAAGTAATCAGCATTTTTGGCTGTTCATTCGTTTCTAGCTAAACTTAATTGGATATTAATAGGTTTTGCCATCAAGTCACTTGAAGGATAAAAATATAAATAAGTGTCCACAAGGCTTTTTCAAGCGATAGATAGCGATTTCACTTCTACGAAGCAGTACCATTGTGGCAAATTAATCTAAAACAACAGTCAACCATTTATTCTGCATATTAAAAGATATAGAGATGTCGAATTTATATTGCAGAATCGACATGTCCAATTCGAATTGCATCGCCCTCTGTGTTAGCTAACTCGGAAGATATACACTGGGGAGCGTCGGGTGTAATTAATTCATCATCTTATAATTTTGAAGACGAATCTTTCAAATGTCAAATGATTTTTATTGGAAGTGCCTCAGAACGAATTCAAATCACATTTTTGCATTTCAATCTTTATTCACGACCGGTTCATCATGATAACGAAACATTTAGGTATGAAAACAAACTTTTTTTATACGTATTTCTATGCTGCAATTAATTAAATTCTATGCTGCAATCAATTAATTAAACCCATCCATTTGATCCCATAAAACGGTGCAACTCTTGAACTCTCGCTTTATCCAGGTCTTAATTAGCCCTACTTGCTTCTGATACCCTCCACTATAAAGCCAGTTTGAAATTCTGATGCATGTCAGAACATCAATTTTTGTGGTGTTGTGATGCAATCAATTTTAATAATTAAAAAATTGTTTGAGAAAATTTGGAAAAATTCGATTTGGTGATTTTTTTAAGGTAATCATTAGTGAATAGTGCCATGCTTATGCAGCAATCAATCCTAGAAGAAATGTCACTAACTGTTCATTCATCTTATAAAGAGCAAGAGCAATCTATTAAGATGTGAAGAAATGGATCATATATCCGCTCACGTATTGATCGGTACTCGCATGTCACGTATTGACGACTTCTGTGGCTCAGAAACACCTCCAAGGCTGATGTCAACAAAAAATTTAATGATTTTGGATTACGTAATTCGATCGAACAAGCATATACGTCAAATGGTTTCTTCATCAGATGCTTTCGGATTTACTATACGTTATAATTTTCTAACTGATCTCGGCTTGTCGGATATGAAAGCTGAACGCAATTTGGATCATAGTATGGGTCTTTTCCCTCACTTCTTTTTTTACAATTCGGAAATTTCAAATTTAAGGTTTGCAATCAAGATTTTCAAACTTATAGCGTGCTATTACATTTTCAATTCATCTCGGCAGACATCGGGTGGTGTTTTCTCACCAAATCATCCAGGATATTATCCCCGTAATATTAACTGCCAGTATATTTTCCATGGAACTGAAAACCAAGTCGTCTCAATCCACTTTGAATATTTCGATGTTGAGGGATTTTCGACGTATGGGCTTTATAACTTTTAAAAAAATCGAATTTTTTCACAGATTATCTCCAAAAAGTTTCGCAAAATTATGATTTTCTGTCAGTTTGCAAAAGCTTGCTTTTTTATGGCCATGTGGAACGTAGAGACCTTCATTTGTTAGTACGAGGATAGGTCGAAAACTAGATTATAGATTTAAAAACGGATAAAAAATTGTTGGTGAGGAGATAGTTAGATGACAGAAAAAAATATATAAATGGATAAGAAATGAAAGATAAAAATACGGTAGATTTCTGGTTATCAACAGAGACATTCCAGAAATTTTGAAAAATGAGCATCTTTTGACTTTATTATTTGCTGATTTCAGAAGGAGACATGATATCGAGAAAAAAACAGTTCAAGTACTAAGTTGAGAAGTTCGTCTCCTGCTTTCTAGTTCCACTCTTAGTAGAAATAAATCTGCCATTAAAAAGCGTGGGTTGTGTTGGATACAGTCAGTCTTTCAGCAACTGATTTTTAATAAAAGTAATAATTCTCTCGCAGTTCTATAATCGTACCAACAGCCAGCGAAGCTAGCTCAGCCAAAAATAATGAACGGTATGCACTTACTTATTTACTTACATTGATTTCAGCTGTGATGATAGTACTCATAGCGATTATGTTTCATTTAGTAATTATCAAACACATGATAGGACAAATAAAAGGTTTTGTGGACAAACATGTCCTAAATATTCAGTTGTAAGTGAATCGAATTATTTTCGAATGGTATTCGTTTCAAACGATATTTTTGATGCAACTGGCTTTTATGCACATTATCAGTTCATCGTTCGACGTTAGTACTTTTTTCGAAAAATTTTGAAATTTCTTATGACCTTACTTCTGTTGAAATATTTTCGGTCGATGCACGGGCATGCACAATAAATACATATTCTTGAATGAATGAATATCCTTTTTTTTTCAACGTAGTTCGCTTTGTTTCGTTACTTTTCCGATTAATGTTAAACTACTGAGAGAATAGAGAGAATAGCGGATAGGTCGTCACAATCACTCGAAGAGATTTTTTCATAAACATAAAACGACCACAATTTTTTCAAACCTCTGAATCTGAAGAGAATTCTGTTCTGTAATGAAGAAAATGGAATATTTATCCCTAAGTTTATATCCACCATTATAAATATCCACCATTTTCTTGCACTTATCCACGAATACTTCTTTATTTCATACTATAAAGTGCTTCAAATATCCATTATTTGAGCTTTTTAAAAAAGCTAAGAAACTCCAATTATCCTTTGCCAGAGTTTGTTCTTTAATAGATTTTTTTCCAGAAGCATCGCAGATTAACCGAGTGAAAATAACGAATAAAGGAAATACGATTATGAATTCTTTTATATACTTTTTTTACGTTTTAACTCACATATTGTATATTTCACAATTTTAAAAATGAAGATTGATTGATTGGATGAGAATATTTTTATCAAAGATTAAGCAAAAGATTTATTAAATTTAGAAAAAAATGGCACAAAAATTTTGTGGCCCAAAGATTTTATTAAATATCGAGTTTGTTGTTGCTGGTTATTTTTAATGAAATTGTTTTTATTTTCTGGATAATCACCTGCGATTTTTTCCATTTATTTATCTATTAGTCAAATAATTCTTGCCCATTAATTTCACTCATTAATTAAAAGCTTTTTTTCTTCAAGCATTCATCATTATATATTGTTCCATCGGACCAGAAAGAACTGGATTATTCCATTTTTTGATTGTAAATATTTGTAATAATACTTGTAAATACTTGATTCATGACTTTCACTATTTATTCATTATATATAAGAGCCTTCACCATTATTGGTTAAACTCGCTCCGCTAGCTTATCATATTGGACAAATATGCCAGAAAATCCCTTGGCGATAGAAATACAGGTGAATCACCAGCATCACCCGAATTTTTGGACAGGTTCATCTCTGTTGGGAATAGAACCTCAAAATCAGCGCTCCGAATTGAACAACAACTCAATAAGCCATCCTATCATCATTATATTATGTATGGAAAAAGAAGAATTAACCGAATTATTGATATTTCTTTATTTAGCAATATTGCAAAATTTTTGATTAGACCTATTTGTAGTGGCTAAAGAAATAGAAAAGAAATAGATTAGATCTGGTTACTAAATTTAAAATTTAAATAAATTAAAGGAAACAACAAATGATATAATACAATCTCGGCACATTTTTCTTCATCTTCAAACATTTCTGATTTTGCTGCTTCCACAGGTAAATAGAATCGTTTCATTATTTGCAAAGATTCCACCTTTAATAATAAATTCGCACAAGAGGGCAGTAATTGGTCCTACGAATTTAATAAATTTATTGCCGGTTGAGGAAATGCCCGATTTTAAATATCTTGGATCCACTTTAATACCGAATGGCCAGACAAATGATGATATTATCAGGATTACGGCAGCTAGAAATGTATTCTTCCGATGGACGAAACTTCTATGGAGCCGTCGAAATCACCATGAAAAGAAAAGTCCGCATCTATATAGCCGTGATCAGTTCGATCTTGCTATATAGCTGCAAAGTATGGCCGAGGAGAGTAGAGGATATTAAGAAATTATTTATCTTTCACTACTTATATCTAAAATATTTTATAGATTCGCCCACTGGATCTCACATGGTTGTATCCACCTTTGTTCAAATGCCACTTATATTAACAGTACCATCATAGAGCAAGGCCTTCGCTGATTGGTTCTTCGTTGTCTACCACAGGAGTTGACATATATTTCGTTGCTTGTTAAATCCTGTGATGGGTGGTGCCAAAATTGAGGAAAGCCAATTACGACCTGGATTAATAGTCGGAAAAAATTTTTGAACATATAAAAGGACCAGCGATATAGAGACTTAAATGATGGATAAAGGAATGTCTTCTATTATTATCGATGATGGCATCAGACCGCGCCGCTTTGATATGTCTTATTCTTGTAGCCAGTAATGGTGAGAACTGTTAGAAGAATTGATTCTACGATAGCTTATACCTTAATCGAAGCGATACACCATCCTGTTTTTGACTTTTCCTATTTATTGCATACACTTTAGACTTGAACCTCGATTTGGCAACTATTAATTAACTCTTTATCTTTCTATATATTTTTCTTATTCAAATTATTTTAGATTCTATAATTCAGAATTTATAATAGCTGAAATGAAATTCTCTGGAATTTTAAACGTTTTATTCTTGGTTTATTTTTCATTCTGTCCTTGCAGTAAAATTTTATCCTTGCAAAAACTTGATTCGCATTCGAAATCCTGACCACAGTCTCTAATAGCCAAGCTGCATAACCGACCTTCAACATTTACACAAAAACCATAATCGCATATTTCACCAGGAAGACAAAGCTTTTGGAAACATTCTATAATAAAGGGAATATTGCACTTCATTAAAATACTTTAAGATACTTTAAAATAGCATTTTTTAAAAGAATTCGCATATTACTTATATTTAATTAAGAAAAAATGGGACCATTACGAGTACAACGACCGTCAACACATTCATATGGATAAGGACATTCGTTTACACATGGTAAACCTTGCAGATGCCGACAATGGCCTTCACGGCAATCATGGTCTACAGGGCATCTGCTGATACATGGGTCCAAGGAACATCGTCCATTAATACATACTGTCCCTCCTAGACATGTTTCCTGTAAGCAATCTCGTCCAATTGCCGAAACGCAAGATCCATCGAAACAAAATGAACCATTCGTACATGTCACATGAGCGCATTCTGAAAGAAATAAATTAAACACCGCTTATACGACTGAAATTGTTTTTTCATAAACTAGTATGATGCCTAGGTTTCTGCAAGTTTCAATATTTTGCACTCAGTCTCTATATCAGTAGAATCAGTAGAAATTCAGTAGAAGCGTCTAATTCGTCGACAATTTCCTAAATTTTTCTATATTTCAAAATATTTTAAAAAAATGATGCCATTTTAATTTATGATTGAGCCGTTGTGAAATGGACAAATAATAAAAATAATAGTAAAAAAATGTAGAACATGAAAAATGCGAGAATTGGTGGGGTCGAAAAGATGCTCATTCATGGAAAAAAATTAATTTAAATTCCTGCAGATATTAAAAGATTAAAAGATACTTGGGTCAGCGAAACAATGGCCCTGTTGGCAACTCTCGCCAGGATCACAATTACAAGACACTCGGTGATTCTTTATACAAGTATTTCTTATGCAATCATAGTTAGGACCACAGTCGAAACTGGATAAACAAAATGTTCCAGCAATTTTGACACAAATTCCATCTCGACATTGCTCAGTAGTTTCACAAGAAATATTGGCACATCCTATAATAAGATTATTGCTAGAATTGCCTAATTTTAAATTAAATGTTCACAGTTAGAAAACACCATGCAGGATATTTTACATGTTTATTGATTAAAGCGTTGTATTACTAAATTTAAATAGTAATAATGATAGAAATAATTAGTTAGTAAAAAAGTGACTCCTTTTCTTGTTAGTCTCGATTCACTGGCTGTTATGAAAAAATTTTGCGAGAGAGGCAGAGGAATGTCCGCAGCAATATTTTTTAATCACAAGAATGCTTGTCGATTATTAATAATAATATCAGATATGTCAGATTAATTAAAATTATTTATTTGATGAAAAGAGCCATTCAATATTGGTAATCCTATCTGTGCGATTAAAATGGAGCGTGTTCGATAAAAGGAAGCCAAAAAAGAGCTCTCTAATCGAAATCTCGCTACGAAATCCCAGCGAAAACCTAGAATTACATAATCCTCCAGTAATATTCCTTTAACACTTTCAATACTCTTTTCTTTTCGTTATATTCTATCGTTATATTTCGTTATATTGTTTACACTGATTTAAAGACTGTTTTGTCCATGTTGGTTCCATGTCTTTTTACTGTTAGTGAAATGATATGTTAGAATAATTATTCACCTTTTTGATTTGATTTGAATCTATAAAACGGTGAAATGCAATTCTTAATATACGCAATTCGCTAACTGCAACGGTGTGGCGTTTCCATAATTAATTTTAAAAATTTCTATTACATACTGTCAAGTATACAATGACCATTAATACATTTTCCGAATTGTCCGCAGTTTGATAACACAGATTTTGCAGTAGTCTTATTGATTTGCACATTGCGATTACAAAATAAGCCGATGGTCGAATAACACCTACCCTATAAAGGAAATAATAACAACATTAGTAATTTTGGACTTTCATCCACCACCGATATAACGATTCACCGATTCACCTATAAAACTGCATAATGAATATCTTTGAATTTCTCATTTTATCTACCAGTCTCATCCTTTATTTCTTCTCCTTCCATTCATTGAACTTCCATTTTTTCTGGTTGACTGGTCCCACTGACTTCTAGGATAAGATCCGTCCGCCTTGAGAATTAAAGGTGAATCTCCAGCATCACTTTCAGCATTTTCGATGACTGTTTTACTCTCGTCAAAATGTATAAATCGAACCCATGACTTGATTTTAAATATAGCGCATATGCTTGCTTGTCATATTTCTTAATTTTAGAATTCAGAAACAGCTAATTTGCCACGAAAAATAAAACTATCAATATCTATACCCTAAATCTGAAATGTTGAAACTCAACGAAATTTAATTAACAAGCAAATGAAAAAAATATAAATTATCAAATATAAAGTGAATACCTTGTAGCATCGCGTCATGGTCGGGCATTGAATTTTGTCACATTCAATAGGTGCACTCCGACCATCTGGTGATAAGCACTGATTATCAATACAATTGTGTCCGATAGGGCATTCAAATTCACCAAATAGCTTTGGACATCTTTGGCAAATAGTTGCATATATAAAGAAAATGAAACAATACCAGTTCATCAATCGGTTTAATCAGTGTAACTGCAACTAAACTTGATCGATCACAATTGTCAACAATTTAATTATTTTATTTTAGAAAAAAATAAAAAAGTTTGTGTTTAATTCTGCAATATTCATAAAAATTCTATCCTTAGCCATCGTCCAAAATTTTTCAATAACTGAGAAGTATGAAGATTCAAAAGGCTAACAGTTTGTAAGATAATTAGGAAATCGGTTCACTTTTTGATTTCGACATCCGGGCAAATCCAGGTCATTTGATCATTTCTTTGTCAAATAAGTAATTTCTCATATTTTTTCTTCATTTCAAATCCTATTAAATCCTTTATATATATATATATATATATATATATATATATATCTAATATAGGAATATTTAGGAAAATATCAACAAGATGGCACTAAAGGATGAGATGAGATAGCTAATGAGAGAAAAGAGAACCTGAAGCATCACTGGAGAAAGACCAAACTGAAGTATTATAGCAAAGCAAGACCTTCTATATTATTTGAGATAACTGAAATGACTAACATTCAAAAATTCTACCAGTAATTAGAAAAAGCTGAACTAAAAGACTGAGATATTGACCACAGCCGCTGAAGAACAGGTACTAAACATTAAACTACCGAAGTAGGATTTTCCACATCAGACCAGATTCAAAATTGTTGGAAAAAGTCCCAGAAATTGTCCAACATACAGTGGCAGGATATAAGATGCAAATAGGAACAGCGTACAATGAAAAGCATAATCAATTAGCTGGCACTATATATAGAAATAATTTTGCTCAGCATATGGCTTGGACGCTCCCAAAATTAGATGATAGGCTCTTTAAAAATCGTAGGAATAAGGTTAAGATCTTATGATTTATTCATCCAGACGGACTAGGCAATCGATCAGACATTGTGGTAGTAAATAAAAACCCAAAAACCAGCATTTGACAGAAAAGCAGAATATGAAAAGCTAAAGAAATACCGAGCCTAAAAGAGGAACTAGAGAAGATGTGGAAAGTGAAGGCTAAAGTCTTATTGTGATAAGACTATTTAGGATCCTAAATTAGAAAAATAGCTCCGACAGATTCAAGGAACAATTAAGGTCTCTGTCCGCACTACTAAAGAACAACTAAAATACGATGTAGAATCCTCTTTTTCATGGCATCTGATACAGAAGATGACCCACAGCAATCACCAAGGGATAGGGATTTCTTTATATTGGTAATTTATTATTAATTACCAACATATTTCAGACCATAAAGAAGTAATAAATAATATTACAAAATGTCTACTAAAGAACTGGTTTTAATGAATCGTTGGTTGACCTTCAACATGCAACGATCGGAATATCGCATTGCAAAAATATTTATATAATTAAGAATTTATCGTTTATGTTGCAGAAATCCTTTCACGTAGAAATAGAGGAATGCATAGTTCCTGTGCACCAGTCAGATTTCATATGCCGATGTCCATCACTTAGAAAAATACATATCTTTTATCTCAGTCAAGAAACTACTCGAATATTTTTCCTTCGCAATGAAACAAAAGGGCTATTTAAGATTAATAGGATTAAGATTAAAAAGTAATATTGGAAAAGTGATGTTATTTAATTATAAATTATCGAAAAATTAGAAAAAATGGATTTTCCAAAGATTTTTTGGAAGATAAAAGATGTGTATTTAAGAATACCATACCATAATACACAACACAATAAAAATTTTTTACGAAATTGAATCGGCGTTGAAAGAAGGGATTTTTCGAAGGAATAAAATCTCTAAAGAAACCTCTTTTTAATTATTTATTTATTTATTTTTTTTATTATCATAATTTTATTTATTTATAAAATTCGACGAAAAAAAAACCAATTTTTGGCAGTTTTCTTTCAAAAAATTTCATTTTATAATTTATGATCAAAAAGTTCGAAAATATAAAAAACTTTACTTAAATAGAAATTACTAAAATTCAAAACAAAAGAAAATTAAACAATTAAACAAAAGATTAACTAAAATTTTTTATGGTTTCAACTGCGATAAAATATTTTTGAAAGAATTTTTGGAAATTTCTAGTTAATTAGCGTTAGTGCTCACCATTTTTGGCTTCATTGGGTGATCGGATGAGATACTTTCACTTGAAGAATAACTCGTGATAGGAATGCAGATAAATCAGCACTATTCTTACTCGTGCCAAGTGAGGGACTGAATTATAATGCTTTAATTGATAATCTGAGCAGTTCCTCCACCACTCGATCATACTGCGCGCTGCAAATTTTTATAATAGGTGTTTTCCTTCTCCTTTTTTATTCATAGATTTTGTAGTTGGCTGAAAAATAGTTTTCCGATTTTATTAAAATGGGATTGTTTAATTAATTTGAATTAATTTTCGAAAGAAAAAAAAATTACAAAATATTCAATGGGTTGATCCACAATTCTTTATCCAGTAAGGAATCACCATAGTTGTTAATAGAATAAAATTAGCAAATTGATCGGTTGCTATGGATGAAAAGATGAGACAATCTGAATTTATTAATTAATGATGACGACGCGCGAAGAGAAGGTGATAAATTTTCTAAAGTCTAATCCACAATTCCTTGAAGATTATGTTATTGGACCAAACGTATCGAAGGCAATGTTTCATAATTGGGCTTTAAAACGTGATCAGAATAATCAAGCAACGAGTCATAAAAAAGCTACAACAGGGCCATGGCTGGTTTGTTATCCTTGAAATTTATAAATTTTATCTTTAAAAATCAGAATTTTTAATCCATTAATACATCAGCTTTAAGAGTTTTATTAGAATTATTAGAGTTTTTGTATGACTTTTAACTCATAACTCACGCATGACTTTCTGCAGTGTGATGATCTCAAGGAACGCAGAATTTTTATCGCAGAAAATGCTGGAAATACAGCTATAATGCTATATGAAATCGCATCAGCATGTGCACAACTTATAAGCGTGAATCGCTTCGATGTACTTATCCGAAACGAAGAAGGACCATTTTTTATTGTTCGTAATAAGAATTCTGTAATGCTTAAGAAAACTACAAAAGCTCGAAAGCCAGCTATCTCATCAATTAAGCTCACTGACTGTTCAGGGACGACTTTAGGTAAATATCGTTTTAAATATCGTTTTTCGCAGCCTTTGATGAAATTTAATTTTTTTAATTAATGAAATCAATATGTTATAAATTAACAAACAAATTGATTTGAAAGATTTTTCATGGGCTTATGAAAACCAGGCTTCGATAAAATTTTTCTTCCAGGCGAAATCATCTTTTACCGTGTTTTAAACAACCGCGATCGTAAAATGGTTAATGTTTTATGCACATGGGGCTGTGCTATGGTCCAATTTGCCCAGGTAGTATTTGCTGCCATTAAATAAACTGGACAATCGATGAAGTATAAATAAAATGCTAATTTAGGAAAATCTAAATGCTTAATGAAGTATTCAACAAATGAAAATTATTTTTCCAATATTGTAAAAGTTGATGATGACATCCATAATTCACTCAATGAACAATTCATAAATAACAATTATTTTTTTTTGATTAAACAAGATCAAATTTATGCTTCACAAAAAACCTTTTTGATCCCATCGATCCAGACTATACGAAATATTTTTATAATGATTTTCGCTAAATTTGATAAATTCTAGGATAATGGCTTGAAAATGCGCAAATCTGTTTGTAAAAAATATTTTTCAGTCTTAGAAAAATCGAAACTACTGGAATAAACTACGCAATCCTTGCACCTTCTAGTTCTAAAACAAAATCAAATAAATAATCCATGAAGTTGCAAATTTAGCGCAGATTCAGTCCCATTCCTTAATATGCATAATCCAGTTTTTCGTTTTGTAACAAAAAAAGAATGAAAAAAATCTATGACTTTTATTGTTTATCTTCTATTGAATCGTTAGTTCCTTTTTCGTTATAGTATCGTAATTACTATGTACTATGTAGCTCAGACTTGGGTAATTACTTGGGTAATTAAACCTTCATTTTAAATCTAGACAATATAGAATATCAGTTATCACATAAAATAGTAAAAATCACAAAATAAAAGAAACTAAAATCGAAGTAGTTTAACGGCCATCCTTCAGTTGACACTTGTCGTTAATCTTTCACGATTCAAATTCTTGGTCTTATATATACCGTATCCATTTGGAAGTCACGGGTCACCTCTGTGGTTTTTGCTTCATAAGTGACCCGCAGGACCATGTTTTGCTCATTTTTGACCACAGGTTTCTTGATTATTTCTGTTAACATTGTATTATTTTAATATTTCTTCTTTCCTATGCAGATATTGTTGTCGTTAATACAAACACTTGCTATGGTCCTGCTTGAGTTTACTTGAAATAAATAAATAATCGGATAGTTGCAGCGATCAACTCCTATTTTGCCGATGGTGGATAGCGATGATTCAGTTTTGGTGGATAACCAACAAAGGCAACTGAATGCTTTTCTTTTGGAAGTAGCAAAGTATAAATTTTGATTTTGACGGAATCTTGCACTTTATCTATTGAATTAGGTCGATATTTCAGGATATAGTCAGTATGGACGCAGTTATTATGAAAGTTATGGTGCGTTCCTACTTTTATTATCAAGATTTTATTATTAACTTTTGGATGAAATAAGATAGCAGTTTCTTATATCTTTGTTTTTAACTAAATTAACAGTGGTTCAAACAATAAGTGATTGGAATAATGAGAATGAAATGAATTTATTACATAGCTTTTATCATACAACTTATACAAATATATATAAATATAGTAATTTTTATAATGAAATAATTTTTTTTTTAATTTTTTGTGTGGAGTGACAAGCTCGATGGGATTGCTTAAATTTCATAAATTTATGTGCATAAACTGGGGAGCACCTTAAACTGGGACAGAAACGATTCTTAATATGTAAGCAAATTTTGGTCGCAGTGTTGTTAATCAAAAAGCAGTGCAGAAATCTCCGAAAATTTGGATCTCGAACAGTACCACATTGCGAACGATCAAGTTCTATAATCTGCTATGGGATTAAAATCTAGTGCAGTTGTTAGAAAAGAGTGATAAAATAAAGAAAAAAAAATGAATATAGCAAATGAATAATGCCAGTCAATAGAAAAATTCCACAAGAGAACGCCAAATCCTAGGTAGCAAATCACTTTGTATCACTAAAAATTTGCTCAATTAAATATCGAAATGCTTCCCCATCCATCATATTCCTCAGATCATATTTACCATTTCTACGGTCCTTCTAACAAAAAAAAACGCAAACACTTTCAAAATTAGGAAGAAGCACAATTCAATGGTTCCAGAAGGTCGGGTTTCTAACTTCTAAACAAATGGAGTGAATGCAATTGTGCTGGCAAATGCGTTTTCATTGTAACTATGTGTATTGAAAATAAAAATGCTGGCAAATGCGTTTTCATTGTAACTATATGTATTGAAAATAAAAATGTTTTCAAAAAAATTGTTTTACAAAATAAAATTGATGGAAAAACTCACATAATAATAAAAAATAACTATATGTAATTTCAGAATTTCGCTCAAAAACTTACTAATGCTGATCGTGCCTCACTATTCTTAGTCGACCATAAAACAAATGAACTGTATGCACGAATTTTCGACGTCGGAACAGATAATAAGGAAGACGTGGTTCTTGATGAGCATGGCCACAAAGAAATCAGGTGTCTAGAGGGAAGATTTTAATGACAGCAAAGATTCATTTAAATATTCAATATTCATGCCTTCCTTATATCGAGTGCAATACTTATAGGTTTCCCTTTGGGAAAGGTATCGCTGGGTATGTTGCATCAACTGGTAAAGGTTTAAATATCCAGAATGCTTATGATGATGATCGGTTTAACAATGAAATTGATTTAAAGACGGGCTATAAAACTCAAACTATCCTTTGCATGCCAATTTTCATTCGAGGAACGTATGTTGTTTTTTGGGAAGCAAATTAGACAAAGGAAAATGAGAAACATTCTCGAAAAGTGGTCCGATATATATATATATATATAGATTTTCTTTGATTAGATTTTCTTTAATCTTTCACCAACCTTAATTTTAAGGGTAATTGGTGTAGTCCAAATGGTTAACAAGGCAAATGGACCTTTCACAAAACAAGATGAAAGAGCCTTCGAAACTTTTGCTGTGTACTGCGCTTTAGCACTTCATCACGCGAAATTGTATGATAAAATCAAGCGATCTGAAAAGGTTAGTGAAAGAAGTTTAACAAAGAGAGATGGAAATTTTACGGCTCTTTTGCAATATCATTAATCAAGAAAGCTATGGAGCATCATAAATTTATTTGAATCTTGGTCTATTTCACGAATAAGTAAGTGATTAACTCTAACTATTTCTGATTGTACTCATTCCACTGGCTACTAGCAGGATGAGATAATTCCGCTGGAAGACGATAGAATTGTGGTGGGTAATTAGAATCATCCTTGTTTTTAATGGCTTTTCATGTCTGAAGTTAGAACTCCAACCTTGTGAATATTGATTGCCTCATTATGTTCGACTATCAGAAAAAATGTATATTAATAATTTTGTTAATTTTAATTTATAATTTTAATTTTTAAAATTATTTCTAACAAGTTTAATATTTAATTTTTACATTTTGTTTCAGAAGTACCGAGTAGCACTTGAAGTTCTTACTTATCATAGTACTTGCACCAGAGAGGAAGTTGAAAAATTAAACAGCCTGAAAATGGAAATTAAGGATCGAATAGTGGAAATAGAAACGTAAGCATCATTCATTCATTTCATTCTTTCAAATTCTCTGTAGATAAAAGCAGTCGAACAAAAAGCGGCCGTCCTATACTCTTTTGGTTTTTGTTCTTCTAATAATATTCACCACTTCTAACTACTTTGGTCAGCTTCACTGGCAATTAGGACGAATGAGCCCAGAAAATCACATGGGCATTGGTGTGCCCACATGACTGAGAATAAAATAAGCAAATAAAAAGATTTTTGATTTAGAATCGATATTGATGTTCGGCAATTGAGTGACATGAAAAAGCCGCTTTATGCAATTTACATGTTCCAAGATTTGTTCGATGGCATCGTGTAATTTATTGTTTTATTTCATTTTTTTACATTCATTTATACTAATGACCATCTGATTTTGTTATATCATTGATAGATAACATGTACTACGGAGAGCTTGGTTCTGGAATTTCCGAAATTTTTTAGTTCACCGCTAATTTTCCAAAGAAAACTTTTTAAGGGTTTCCCCTCGAGAAATATCGATCTGAACTAATAGATAATAAAATTTCTAAACGACGCATAATTTTTGAATTTTGCATAATTTAGCGTATGTTTTCATAATGAAGTGGATAAAAGATTTTGTTTTAAAACCCAGAGCTAGCATTGTTCTCCCAGACCAGCACCTAGATATACCGTTCATTTTGGAAAACGAGAGTATCATCTATATTTGCCTATCGCTTGGCAAAAAGATTTTATTTCAGTAGATTCGATCATGACGATCTCGTTCGCTTTGTTCTAACAGTTCGTAAAAATTATAGAAATGTTGCATATCACAACTGGGAACATGGATGGACAGTAGCTCATGCCATGTATCTTATATTAAAAGTTACCAACATATTTGATGCTTTAGAGGTATTCATCTGCCAATATATTTAAATAATTAAGATAGTTTTAAGTTTTAAAATTTACGAACCACCTCTTCTTGAATTTTGATTGTCTCAACATTGAGATATTTCGTATATAATTTTAATATATAATTTAAGTATATAATTTTATAATATAATTAGTATATAATTCTTATCATGATATACTTCTTCCAACAGCTCCATCAACGCCATCGCTAGTAGTAAAAGAAGCCATTCTTTATTCCATCGCCTAAGTTCATGTATCGCTCATCCTTTATATACTCTATATGTTCAAAATCTTTTATCAGTCCAGGTCTTGATTGGCCCACCTCGCTTTTGACACCATCCATCACACGGTTTAGCAAATAACGAAATACGTCGACTCTTGTGGTGGACGACGGAGAACGTGCCCTAACCATCAAAGGCAACGCTTTGTAATAACATTATTAATGCAATCGGTATTTGAACGAAGATAGATGCGATATTTTATTCGCTCAACGGACCTTTAAAACGCACCTTAGACAAGAGTGGTCAAAAGCAGATAACTTCTTAGTATCATCCACTCTCATTGGCCATGTCTCAGAACTATATAGCAAGACCGAACGAATCACAGCTATATAGATGCGCATTTTAGTTTTTATGGTGATGTTACGATGGCTCCATAAAAGTTTCGTCAATCTGAAGAACATATTTCTAACTGCCGTGATCCGGGTTATAATATCGTCTTTTGCCCGCCCATCTGGTATTGGAGTAGAATATAAAGGTATTTAAAATTGGGCATTTCCTCAACCGGCAATGAATTTATAAAAAGGCATTTTATCAGCTTCTTGCACGTAAGACGAAAAGATTTTCGTTTTGTTTACATTGATCCTGAGTCCCATTCTTGCTGCACTTTCTGAACAAGATATACTACCATTCCATTAACCATTAATCTTAATCGAAAATTAATATCCATGGATTCCTTTACCTTTCTTTGACAACAGTAATCACTGAAATCTGTATAGTACTGGTCTACTCATGCTCTTATTCTGATCGCCGGTGAAGGTGGCATGCGGATTCACCTTTAGTAGTCTATATGGCCAGCAGAATGGGAGGCAAAATAAGAAAAAGTTCAAGATGAATTTTCAATAATTTCAATCACCACTTTAAGAGCAACCGTGTTCATGCATAATTCATTCTCGCTTATATGAATCAGGTAAATTTCAGTCATTGGGGCTATATGTGGCATGTCTTTGTCATGACCTGGATCACAGAGGGCGGAACAATGCTTATATGAAATCAATGAGTGCCCCATTAGCAGCAATGTATTCCACATCGGTTATGGAACACCATCATTTTAATCAAACTGTTACTATTTTGCAGCAGGTTTATTTTATAATTTGGCAAACATATTTATGGAAAACTCTGAATATCGAAGCGGTTAAAAGCAGTTTTGAACAATTCGTTTTAACACCAAAATATGTATCATTTAAAGATACCTTTTATGAATAGACATAAAAATTAGATTTTAAATTAGATAAATTAGATTAGAAAAATTTTGTTTGCCGATTATGTACTATTAACGAGCGATCCAAGCCAACTTTCTGGACACGAATCCATTGGTCAAAAATGGAAAGGCACCAGAGTTTACCATGTAGACTTCATCATTTTTTATTACTTGCTGAGCCTGCAAAATTTTACACTAGATCCAATAAATTCTATTGTTCATACTATTCCTAAAGAAGGCGCTGAGTAATTGTTACTCAGACTATTGCCTCCAGCATTGAAATCTTGTTTTCGAAAGGAGTAAATCTCCCCATTAGAAAAGATGCTGATGCAAACCTACTTGTATTTCTATCCCCTGAATGATTCTTTGCGAGAATTCCTTATTATGCTAACAGCCAATAAAGCAATTTTAACAAGAAATAGAACTTTATCAAATTACTTTTTTCTCTTTAGGACGGCCACAATATTTTCAAGTCACTCTCATCACGGGAATATAAAATGGTTTTGAAATTAATAAAACACTGTATCTTAGCAACCGATCTAGCACTGTTCTTCGTAAATAAAGCAAAAATGAAAGTAATTATAGATCAAACGGAATTTGATTGGAATATTCCAGATCACAGGTATGATCCAGAAAATGATTTATTTGTTATTTGCTTTATTATTAAAAATTATCACTGGATCATTATCAAAGGAATTCTAATAAAAAATTGCTCATACCATTCCTAAAGAAGAGAAGATAGTCGAGTATTCATTACTCAGATTATCGTCTGGAGTATCAAAGTTCGGACTCAGCCTATGATAACGGTAAATCTGCCATTAAAAAAGAGAAGAGAAGATTTACTTTATACCAAACGACAAGAATTACTCGTCGCGTTAAGTGGAGTGATCTTAACCAGAAACAGTGAGCTTTATCCAATTATCCAATTTTTTTTATTTATTATACCTCATTTACTCTTAGTTACCATCTGGAATTCAGGTCTCTAATGGAATCAATTATCATGACCGGTTGTGATCTAATCGCATCCGCAAAGCCGTGGTCTGTCCAAACAGAAATTGTTAAAGTTATCTTCCAAGAATTTTATGAACAGGTTTAGATTGTGATAATTTCCTAAAATTCTTATCTACTTACAAAATGCCTAATAACTTGATATGTTGCTTCGGTGAATTCTAACAAGCATAACGGCAGGCACTCACCTATTAAGTGCCATAAACTTGCCAATGTGGAGTAGGTGTGGTGTAAAAATCCACGTTTAATGATGGGTTTACCTCGATCAAAAGACGGGATTCGAAGCCGCGCCGCTTTTAACCGAGTCATAACTTGATTTGTTCACCGAATGAATTATATTATAATCTTTATCTCGTTTAATTGCAGAAAGATTATGAATGTTTTCAATATTTTAACCGTAAAATATAAGCACTTTAAAAATAAATTTTCTAAAATGATAAAGTTGTCAAGCACTTATACGAACGAAATATAATCTGAATAAATAAAAAAATTTAAAGGGTGACGCAGAAAGAGAAAGCGGGAAAGAACCCATAGCAATGATGGATCGAAATCGAGCTCATGAACTTCCGAAGATGCAAGTCGAATTCATGACGGGAATTTGTATACCATGCTATGAAATAATCAGTAAAGTTGTACCCGAATCTGCAGTATTATTCGAAAGATGCTGGTAATACTTCTTTGCAAAACATACCAAACCAACTTTGATTATACCCTAGAAAAAAATGGATGTTTATGGCATAAAAATATCTGCAAATATGTGATCTTAACATTCTTAACTCATAGGGTAATATTGATAAATTTTTATAGAGGTAATACGGCCGAATCTGCATTACTTAGATGATTAAATTTCATAGCTACGCCCTTCCCACGGCAACAGTAAATTTCTCTTTAAAAGCTCGAGTGCCGGAACCTACCTTTACTCCCAAATGATTCTCTCGCATTCTCATTTATTAATAGCGAGTATAGCGAATCCAGACAGGAATGAAGAGCACTTATAAGCGATTAAGCGAGATGCAGGGATTTTTAAAAAATCTCCAATTTTACTAGTTCTTCTAAAAATTTTTAAAATGATACTTTTTCAATTTAGGCATAATTCAAAGAAATGGAAAGAAATCGCAGATGAACAAAATGCATTATCTTCCGAGCATTGATTGTTCCTCAAATGATCTGAAATTACCATCTGTGATACTTTGATTAATTGATGTGTTGTATTCTGATGTGAATAAACGTTAATAACTCCATCAATCAAAAATTTACATTTTGAGAATAAGAGTTTTGAAACTACAATTATATTCCAGAAAACAGTCTAGAGAAGAAAGGGAACAGGATAGGCGAATGGTTTGCGGCTCATGTAATCTGAAAATGAAAATAAAGATAAAAGAAATCTGCAAATTGGCATAGACCACAATCAGAGCCACAAGTTTGGATGCTTCTGATCCTCTTTTGGATACTAAAGGAAAACCTGCCATGGAAAAATGAAAAAATGCTAGCAACTCAGTAAGTGCTAGATACTACCAATTATACTTCTATCCCTTACAGTAACTTTGGTGAAAAACTTGTTGGGTTCAAATTTAACCTAAAGTTGTAATATTTTGAACAATCTAATTTAATATAACACATCAAATTTTATAATTGTAAATTAAATCTTGTTTAATTCGACAAATTAAGAAAGAATCCAGGTTGTATCGTTGAAATTACTTTTTATAATTACTAAAATTGTTATTGGGTTATTGGGAGAGACGCGTCGTATGAAATCTTTTTGGAGCACTTTAATTATTTTATTTGATTTGTGGTATCTCGGGAGCATTGGTAATATAGTCAAGAAAAGGCCGTACAAACATTTTGTACATTTTGATAAGTAAATCTTCAATTTTGTTCTTCTTTGAGAAATTCTTTGCCATAGTTCTATGGGTTGAAATCGAGATTTTCATCCATGATTATTCCAAGATTGGAAATGTGTGAGACTCTTCTGATTACCGTTATTATTATAATAAAAAGATTAGGAAGACTGAGTCCTTTAGAATTGATATGAAGGACGCTACAAAAGTGCTTATCATTTATTATAATCTAGCGAAGAGCATTCGAATGAAGAATGATGGAAAAAGGACGAACAAATTTATTTGATAAATAAAAGAGTGACAGAGAAAACGATAAAGAAACGGTTGAATAATTTGACGTAAAATATAGGAAACTATACTTTGCAACTAAAATTAGAATCAACGAATGCAAAAAAACGATTAATCAAGATATTGCTTAATTTTAAATCACCAGCAGTCTTAAACCTTCCATAAAAGTTTTCTAAATAAATGGCCAAGTTTTGAAATAAATATTAAGGAAAAAATCGAAAAATCTCGCTTACAAGTAGATTTTATATCAATGCAAAGCTTTTCTCCATTTTTATCAAATATAAGCAATATATTGTATCAAAAGTTTTTTAATGAAAATACTGAAAAAATAATATTATATATACAAAATATTAAAAAAGCAAACAACAGTACAACATTTATTCCAGATTTATGAAAATATCGCATCGCTGCAAAGGCAAACGTTTAAACCTCTCAGATTAATAAATTTAATAAAAAATAATAAGAATAGAAATAATAGTAATGACACAATAATGACAAATAATAACAGGACTAGTAATAATAAAGATAACGATAATGGCAATAAAAAAAAGATTGATAATGGCAATAAATAAAAAATTAAAACAATGACAACAGATAATTTGACTAATATCAGTTATTAATAACTGCAATAATAAATTTGGTGGAAAAGTGACAAACAAAAAACCTTATCAAAACGAATTCAACACATTTATCTTCCACTTTCCATCAATTATTGTAATTTTTTTAAAAGAATCGAAATTTAAAAAAAAAATATTTGTCTATGAGCCGTGAAAAAATATACAAGAAATGAAGCCAAATCTCACACTGAAACAGCCTTAATTAAATTAATTTTTATTGAATTAAATTAATTTCATAAGGGATTTCCATTATCTCTTTGCCCATTGATAATCACCGAAGACATCAAATTATAGATAAAGATAGCTCTTTTTTTGCTAACATAGATGATATCTGAATTTTAACTGACTATTAATTCTCCAAACTGATAAATTCTAAAAATATTTGATAAATAACGAATTAATTAATGAAAATATTAATAATCATAGTAAGCATATTAAAAATATTGTTTCCTCAAAAGATAAGGAAATTTTCAGTAAAAAAATGATATATAAAGGATAAAGGAAATAAAGATTTGAAAATTTCATTTTGAAGTACAAAAAAAATAAGTTAATTAAGAAATTTTCTCCTATGCTATTATACATATTATGCGGGAAAAGAAAATTTCTAGGTCTACCAAAAATTATTTTCTCTTTCGATTTCATCTTAAACGAACTTTTCACACAAGTCGGTTCAACAAAACCAATAATCAATTTTTATAGGTTTCAGAATATCAGAAAGTTTTAGAATTTGAAGTTTTAATTAGAAAACAAATGACTTCACGTGGCTTAAAATTACAATTAAAAAAATCTTAAATAAAAATTTCGTTCAAGAAAATAAAAAAGCCAGAAAGTGAATGAATACCTAATTTTTTACTCTATCACGAATACAATACCTTCAAGGAATGAGGCAAAAAGCTCCTGAGGCGATAAAGAGGTAAAGGAAACAAAATTCTCAAGAATTAAAAGAAAGATCAGGCAAAGAAAATTCACAATAGGAAAGAAAATGCATGGAATGCAAAATATTCATGATGCACACAAAAAAAAACTATGAATATTTTAAAACTAATTTTGATATTTATCTGATCCACAGCGAGAATTTCTTTCTCTAAAACTCGCATATCTCTGATTTGGGGAGTTCCACTGATTAATAAAATCTTCAATAGGTAATAGAAATAAAGATGGGTCCTCAAGACCATTAAGATTTTATTTTCAATGAAAACGACAGAAATTAAAGCAAGATTGCTGGCTCTCACTAAAAACAGTACATCTCCCAATGCATCTCCTTTATCTCCTTCCAAATTTTCAAAAAATTAAGATCAAGAAAAGAAATGCAGAAATGATAACGAAAGACTTTAAGATATTGACAAATAAAAACGAATTAATTGTCATCCGTGACAAGGAAAATAAAACGATAGGATAAAATTTCAAAGACCCCATATTCACTTGGTAGATCTATACTATATTATTGGAAAAGAAATACTATAAAAATGATAAAGAAAAAATGTATAAGAAATGGGAGGAGACATATGACTTCTAGCTTGTTTCTGCGGATCAAATAACCGATAAGTACAATATTCTTCGTTAGTAAAATACTTTCTGAATTGAAAATCTTTACTCTTAAACACAAAAGAAAAATTTACCAGGGTAAAGAAAATTTAGCATTAAACAAAATAAAAATATTTACAACTATAAATAAAAACATAAAGCAGATAAGACTGGTAAAAAATATTTCTGGAAAGAAATGATAAAGGAAAACTAAGAATACTTTAACTGGTGAGAGTTATTGCAACGGTGCAACAGTACGCTGACGGCTTTCTTTTTCTAATGTCTTTCGTTCTCGTTCTATTTTTGACTTTATTGCTTTAACTTTTTTTTTAATGACGGCTCTATCTGAATGATTCTGGATGCCAATTGCCTGAAAATAATAATTTAAAATATTTGAAAAATCGGTCAAATTTTTTATTTACTTTTCTTTAACAAAACTCATAACCGAACTAAAGCCAAAGCCAGAAATGAAGTTTTTCATTTTGCACACTTTTACAAGAAATTAAAAATTCTGATTCCACATATAGACACCATCAACGACTATACGATTGTATCTGGCTTGAAACAATTATGATGGGCATCAAATAACAGAAAATCATCATTTAATCATTTGGATTAACAAATGTGGCAAAAAAACAGATCGCAAGAAGTATCATTACAATTTACCTTCAATTTACTGCCATCTAAATCAAGAAATTTGGTGCCGTTGATCTCGTTTACAGTAAATTCAGGAATATATTTATCAAGACCCATTTGGATTAATAACTGACAAACATCATCACGTGTCCAATGCAATACTTGAAGCCCCTGAAAAAAAAATGTTTTAAAAAATAAAAAAATATGAATATGGTTCGATCCCTTGCTTCTGAGGAGAACCTATTATTAAAAGCAGAATTTGGATGATGCTGAGAATTCACTTGCCCAAGTGACTCTGAAAGATTCTCATTCTAATAGTCAGTGGAGCAAGTCTAGCCAAAAATGGTAAATAACATAGAAAAAAAACACAATAAAAGCCAAGACAAATCAAATTTAATCCCAAAAGATCTTGGATTCACGATAATCCTTCAAAAATAAAAGATATTTACCCGAACTGAGTGGAAAGTGTCACGCCAAAACTCATGTTCATCTGAAAAATACATAGAGTAAAATACAAGTTCAGGTGAATATTTTCACTCTTCTCTACAAAAGATTTTGTGATAAAGGGAAACAGCGACAAGAGTTAGCCAAACTATTGAGTATTGTTTGATGACGAGATAAGATAAGATAACTAAAAGAACTTTTAAGTGCTATGATTATTTTACTTCAGATCGGAATTTTTGATACTAAAAGTAATAAGTGAAATAAAATTTTTTACCAAAAATGCCCACATTATCCTCACTCCGAATTTAATATAATTAATATAGTTAAAGAAAAATAGGTCATCCTTAAATCAAAAAATGAAAAGAATTACTTGGCACATATCGGCGACGAAGTGGAAAAAGAATTTTCTTATGAGCAAATTTATGCGGCATGGCTGGACTCGCTGGCTCTGAAATACGAGGGACAGGACTATCACAAGACGACTTCTGATCATCACATGATTCGGGACAACTATCATAATGTTCTCCGCAACCATTATGACGAGAAATTGACAATGGCAATCGATTAGTCTGCGAATGAAAAGAGGAGTAAAAAAATATAAATCCATTTTAAAAAAATTCGTCTGAGGAAAATCTGGAAAATTTGGTTATGCAAATTCAACTGTACCATAAACTTGGCTCTTCACGAGAATTAGAAAGCTTTAATAAAATAATCTGTGATTAAGATCTTACCTGTATGGCTTTGACTGCCACCACTTTCTCATGAGGATTTTCAGTAGAACAAGTTGGTTTATAAGCAAGGGCTGGGCTAACATCACGTGCAGCCAATTGTTCTTTGAGTTCCATAAGTTCACCTTCCATCACATCCGTTCGCCTAAAATATATTTCTTCTAGAGCCAGAAAAAAAGGTTACTAATTAAAGATTTCCATCTTAATTTTAATTAGTAAGAAAGGTGAAAATGAATGTGAATTCTCATTAATTTGTTTTTTTATTTTTATTTTTCTTTTCGGATTCATGTAATTCTTAAATAAATGCCTCAATCAGTTAATCAAACCTATGCTCATCTTTACCCCTGCATATTTAGATTCTAAACAAAAAAATTTGCAACTATCATATCATAAACTCATCTTTACCTTTGTGCCATTTCTTCAAGTTTCTTTTCAAGTTCTTCAATGCGTTCCTTTAACTGCGACACCAAAGTACTATAATGAGCATCCTTTTGTCGAAGTTGATCAACATGTGCTTCTTCCCGTTCAAGCAATTCTTTTTCTCTATAAATATTTGTTGAAAAAAAGTTTTTCTAGAAATTTTTTTCTGAAATTTTAAAATTTTCTAGAATTGGGTACAAAAAATTAAAATTCTTTCTAATTCATTAAAATTCGATTTAATTAATTAAAAGAATGCCACATTGAACCTTTCTTGATAACTTCGTAAAAGTTGATTTGCTTGTTCATATTTACTCTCTAACATAGCGTAATGAGTTCTTGAGCTCTCGAGAACGATCTTCATTTGATCGGCCTTCTTCTGCGACTCAGTCAATTCCACTTCAAGTGCGGTTATTCGTTCCTAGTTATAAACACTTCAATATGGAAATAAAATAAAAAATTGAATAGTGTTGAATAGTGTTAATTGAACAGAGTTGAATACAGAATTACTTAATTCATCGTCAATTATGATGAGACAATTAATTTCATATCAGAAAACCATTCTGCCTCAAAAACAACCAATAACTGAAGAATAACTTGAAGAATTTTTTGAATAGTTGAGAAAAAGCCAACTCGAATTTTCTGTTCCTCTTCTGAAAATCTTCTTGTCGTCGATACAGGAGTTTCATCACTTTCATCCGTTTCTATATCATCTTCAACATGTTCCGATTCGTGCAGACGATCTGCCTCTAATGATTGTTTAATTAATTGAGCCACTTCACTTTCCTCAAGATTAATTTCCCGACCTATCGTAAAAGTAACCTGAAAAAAAATATCTATAATATATACTAAGTCAAAATGAAATCTATCAGATCCAAAAAATTCACCTTATTTCCAGTTGCACGAAGCGTTTCAGCCGCGAATATTTGACTGACACCGACCAAACTAATACCGTCAACACTAACAATCTGGTCACAAACACGTATTAAACCATTTCGATGTACCGCACCACCTGGTGTGATACTTTTTACGAATATTCCAAGTTTTTCGAGGCCAGAATCTGCACCCACTCCCATTCCGATTATTGATACCTTTGAATTACGTTAATTATAGAAAAATTTAGAAATTGGCAGTGAATAACCATTTTAGACATACATTATCAAAAAATGGCAAAAAACCCTACAAGGAGCATTAAAATGATCATTTTATAGAGAATTATACCAACTGCCGGTCTAGTTCTTCACAAATATTGGCAAATCTTTTCGATTGGTAAGCATCAATTGGCAATGAAAAGTATTAATTGTGTATTTAGATTAAGCCAAAGCCTTTGATAGCAAGTTGTTGATCACTCTTAACAGTTATGGCATTACAGGGGACCTATACTGTGTGTCAGATTACATAAAAGATCGTCACCAGGTTGTACATGTCAACATTCTTTCTGATATGACACCTGTTAAATCTGGCGTTCCCCAAGGTAGTTATTCTGCGCCATTGCTTTTTCTATATTTATGTATAAATAATATCACCAATGTGGTACTAAATTCTACTATTTATCTTCATGCTGATGAATGTAAAATTATTATTTTCATGATAGAGAGGGTAATCTATCTTCAATGCAAGATGATCTCAACAGAATAGCCGATTGGCTATATGATAAGCAAACTATCTTTTATCTTCAAAAATGTAGCGTCCTTCATATAAATTCTAAAGGATTCGATCTTCCTAATCTTTTTATTAATGGTAATATAATCAGAAGAGTTTCATACATTTTCAGTCTTAAATAATCATAGATGAAAATCTTGATTTTAACCTTCACAACAGAACCATGGCAAAGAAATCCTCAAAGATAGTCAAAGATAGTAAATTTTATTTTCCGTTCGTTTAAAAACAAAACTGAAGGTTTTCTTAACAAAATGTGCAAAGCGTTGGTACCGCCTTTTCTTGACTACACTACTACCTGCTCCCGAGATATCACAAATCAAATAAAATAATTGAAGGACTCCAAAAATATTTTATACGCCGCCTCTCTCCTAATAACAATTTTAATTATAAAAGATAATTTCAACGATAATAATTTCAACCTGGATTCCCTCTTAATTTGTCGAATTAAACAAGATTTAATTTAATTTACATAATTTTATATATTATGTTAAACTAGATTGTTCAAAATATTATAATTTTAGGTTAAATTTGAACCCAACAAAATCTAATTGGCTTTACTAAAACCTATGCGCAAAACTAAACTAAGGACTCATACTTTTTTATTCGTATTACTAATTACTGGAATAAATTACCGAACGATACAGCTTGTGCATCACCCTTAGCTAAAAAAAATTAGATAATATCATTTATGATACTATTTAAAAAGATGATCAAATTATGCACGAAGAGTGAAATCTCGATTTTTACCATCCGATTATGTTTTATAGAATTACTTCGAATTGTACTATATTATATTATTTTTATAGTATATATTTTATATTATTTTGTAATTTCCTTTTTATTTTCTCTTTTAATTTTAATTTTTATTTTAGTTTTAATTTTAATTTTTGTCATATTTCTTTTTCTTTTCTTATTAATTATTATTTGTTATTTTGTTGTTATTAATACAAGCACATGGCTTTTGTCGCCCTGCCTGGCTGGTTTTCAATAAATAAATAAATTAAGTTAATAGAAAGGACTTACACCAAGACCCTCGACACCTTTCTCAAGTTGTACATCAAAAATCTGCATCTTATCAAGTCTTCGCTCTAATTCATATTCTGCACATGAAGCTATTGGATCTATATCGTCATTTCGACGGTCATATTCTGTTACACTATGGGTTGAAAATACCTAAAAAAAAAATAATAGAAAAATATCGAAAAACCAAAAAAATAAGACTAATGAATAAGATAAGCTATGTTAATTTCCATTAACTTAACTTTCTCTCTTTTTGAGTGTAAGCAGGGATCAAGAAAAAAAGAAAAAAACCTTGATCGGTGCAGTACTAAATGAAACTTTTCGTCCGCTACAATCGGTATCTGGTGATAATCCTCGTATAATTTCAGTAGCATCACATGAAGCGTCAATTGAACTTATCGAAGCAGTGCGTTCTTCATTCTGATATTTCGCAGTAACCAAATTTATACTACCAGCTGCACAACGCTGGTCAACGTTTGGTTTACGACTTTTTACTAATGCATATGTTGTATGCCTTATTGAATATTCCTGCAATCCATCGATATCAATAAAATAATCGTTTTTGTCTAATTATGAAGCCATTTTCGTGAGATAATTAATAAAATGACTGCGCCTTCGAAGCTTAATGGGATTTGTATATTCTAAATCCCATACTTTTTCTTCTAACAGCTCTTTTCATTACTGGTTAGGCTGGCTTCGCTTCGCTTGGTTTTTAAATTTTTAAAAGATTTTCTAAACTATGCAAAATAAAACCTGGCTACCCCCTAAGGATAAGATATCTCCAAATTCTTCGGTCCTATGCCATCACTGATAGTAATAGAAGCCATTCATCTTTTCATCGTCTAAGTCTATATGTCCCCCTATACGTTCAAAATCTTTCTTGACTGCATCAGTTAAGGCCTTAATTGGCCCTTCTCGCTTTTGACGCCACTCTAACTGCTAAACAAGTTGCGAAATATACATCTGTGGTGGATAACGAAGACTAACCCTAACCAGCAAAAGCGAAGTGATAAAAACATTAATAATAGGTGGTGTCGCCGAAAGGCGAAAAAAGCTGTAAATTTGAGCAAGTTATCCGGATTTCCGCCCATTTTAAATTAAATATAAGCTTTCAAAAGATCAATTTTGGTTATTTTATGCTTTTATTAGGGGAAAATGAGTGGAGGAACGGTCGATGAGTGCTAGGCATTTAGATTTTTTACTTGATTTTTTTATGTATTATTTCTTTGTAGTAGGGCAATTACTTCGCTTTATTCTCTTGTATATTATATTTGCGTCTTTACTAATAAAAGTTTAATTACTCAAGTTTGAGATTCGCAACGAGAAAAGCAAAAAGTAGAACGCTGGCCGCAGAGTTTTACAACACTGATAAGAAACAAAAATCCCGCGTGGCAGGAAAGCTAAATCTATACAGAAAAAAAATAGAGGAGTGGATTCCCAAAAGGAATTGTTGTAAAAGTAGATTACTGGATGGGGAATCGTCGTGCTCCCAACGTGCATCAGCCGGGAAGACTCGTTGTTCGAATTGAACTTTGAAGTAAGAATATCAATAAATTATTGGTCGATTATTGATTAATATCATTTGGATAATTTTTATCGAGGAAAGAATAATTAAGAAAAGAAATATCAACAGGCAAGGATCGATATTCAGGGAAGCTTTATTGATTTAAAAAATTTTTTTTGAATTTTTGTAAGAGTTTCTTTGTCTTGTATTTTTAGCTTGTATTTTTGTCATTATTTATGAGTTTATTGATTTGTTTTTGAAAATTTGATAATTTGTTTTGCTGTGACCCGAACATTGTCGAAATGATCTCGTTGTTGAAATTTGAGAATTGACCCCTACACAACGGAATTGAATGCTTAAATAAAGTAGAAGGTTTTAAGGCCTTTACAAATTTAAACCATTCACAAATACAACAGCTGGATGAAATACAACAGCTTAAATTAGATATCAGCCAATTTGCCCAATGTGTTAATAATGAGATAAAAGAATGAGAGGCACAAATAAATGACCCTCTCAATGCCAATAGAGATGCTGATATAGAAGAATATAAATTGATGGCAGCTAGCCCAAATGGGCACTTGTGACTCGTTTAAAAGGCGCGTAAGGCAACTTCAGATTTGGTTGTCATAATTAGACGTTGCAATAGAAATTTAAGTGACAATAAGGTCACATTAAAAATGGAGAAGACAGAAGTGGAGTCATAGAAACTTCAACCATTAATAAAGCTGCCGAAATTATAACTGATGAAATTCGATGGATCAATAAGGAGTTGGGTCGCATTTAAGGAAACTTTTTATCGACCATTAGATAGAGAAGTCTTGATCTTAGATACCTCGAAGGAGAAGCGAAAAAATTGGTGGAAGGATACCCTATAGATGGTGAATCTTACAGGAATGTGTAGGAAATTCTGGAAAGCAAATATGGAAATAAATCCATTATTATTGAAGAACTATATAAAGAATTAAGAGAATTGAACCCAAAAACAAAGGATATAAAGGACATTCGCAAGGACCTAGAGCAATTATTTCGCCAGTTGACATCTTTAGGAGAAGATATCAACAATAATTTGAGCATGGCACAAGCTAAACTGCCAATACATGTGCTAAAAAGAGTACTAGAAGAAAAAAGAAAATATTCAACATAGGATATAAACGAATTGAGAAATCTAATGAAAGTTTACGAAGAGGAAGAGCTCCTATTAAGTAGAATGATAAGGAGCGATGATAAGGGAAAATAATCATGCCGAAGCACAAGATAATTTTAAAGAGAAAAATAATCATGATAGGGAACAGTCAGAACATATCAAGTCAACCATGGTATCGAGTAAATTAGCCGTGAAGAGGAATATTAAAATGTATATTTTATGAGAAAGAACATCGGAGTCACCAATGTAAAAAGATAGCCTCTTATGAAGAGAGGCTGCAGCTCCTAAGAAAGCTTCAATGATACTTTCGATACTTAAAACTCGCCATAGGGCAACTGATTGTTACAGTAGAGTAAAGTGTATGAACTGCTCCGAGAACCATAATACCGCATTATGTCAGGAAAAGAGAGATGAACGCAAGAGAAAATCGAGGAAGATCAAGAACAAATGACAGTAACTACTGCCAATTCTTTAAGAGAAAATTCAATAGTGAACGAAATATTCCTCCCTTGCAAGGAGGTATTCGTCATAAATCCACTGAAACCAAGGAAGAAGATTCGAGCTTTAATTCTGTTGGACACGAGAGGCCAACAATCATATATTTCAGAAACATTACGAGAAAATTTGCAGCCTGTAGCAAGAGAACAACAAACAATTACTGTATCAAGTTTCTTATCAAAAATTCTCTAGAATTACCATACCTCGGTACTAGAAGTAGGGATAATACTTCGTGATGGCTGTATATTCAAGATAATGGTAAATACGATGACAAAGCTGATGTCGCAAATGAAATATATGCAGTTGAAAGGATATCAATCTTCAAGAACGGAAGATATAATAAAATGGCGAAACCCGATATATTGACAGGCTCAGATTATTATTTCTCTCTTATGAGATCAGGCATAAAGGACGCGAGAAAGGACTCTGGCGAACATGTAACTGACTCACGGTTAGGCAAAATATTTGTTGGGAAAAAATTTGTAATCAAATGTTACAAGGCCGACAAGGAACATGTCGTAGCTTAGTAACCTTCACGGTGAACCTAACAGAAACTTAACCTAACAGTAACCTAACAGAACAAGATCTGTCGCAGTTCTGGGCTCTAGAAGCTATTGGAATCGCAGACCCAATTGACTTCATTGATGATGAAGAAGCATATGAACAATTTGAAAAATCAGTCAGAAGAAATGAGGAAGGAAGATATGCCATATTATACCTTGGAAAAGTCTTTATCCCAAAATCGAGTCAAATTTTGGTCTTATTTTTGGTAGATTGACATCCATTTGGAATAAACTGCTAAAGGATACAAGCCTGAGACATCAATATAACCAAATATTTAAGGAGCAATTGGATGATAAGATAATCGAACCTGCTCCTTCAGAAACACCGTTCTTACGTATTATATTCCACATCTTCCTGTTATCTCTCCTGATAGACAGAGTACAAAATTAAGAATAGTGTTTGATGCATCAGCGGCAGTAGGAAAGGTTATTCGTTAAACGATCAACTGTATAAAGCTCTACTTCTACTCCACACCTGGCTGGAATTATTTATTCTAATGGCATAGAGAATGACATAGAGAAGGCCTTCCTTCAAGTGGCAGTGAATGAAGGCCAAAGAGATGTGACGAGATTTTTGTGGTTGAAAGATGTGGAAAAACCACCATCGAGAAATAATCTACAAATATATAGATTTCCCCGCATGCCTTTCGGCCTTAAGTATAGTCCTTTCTTATTATCAGCTGTCATCAAGCATCATCTAAAAACATCCAAATGGCATATTTGCAAAAGACGTATTAAAAAACCTTTACGTTTTTCTGACATTTAATGATGAAGAAGAAACGCTTAAAGCATACAAGAAACTGAAGAAAATTTTTGAAAAAACTTATATGAACTTGAGGATGTTTGCAACTAATATTGATAAAGTAAATCACTGTATTCCTCAAAACGATCTCAGCCCGGCAGACCTGGACACTGGAAACGGATGGCGAACAAAAATCGGATTGATTATAATTTAAAAACGGATCGTTTAACTTGGTCCATTGAGAGAAATGTAGTACTAAAAGACAAGTATTACAATTCGTTGCGTCAATATTCGACCCATTAGGAGTTCTCGGATAAATATGAGTGGGATCAGAAATTTGATGAAATAAAGGGTCGAAAATGGCGAGATATAATAAAGGAATAACAAACGATATCAATACAAATAGATCGACCAATAGAGTACATAAAGAATGAATGCAAAAAGGAGATTCACTGCTTTAGACACATCGGAAAAAGCTTATGCCGTCGTAGTCTACCTACATAATTATTATTAAATAATATCGTCAGGTGAAATTTTTGATGGCGAATTCGAGGGCAGCACCACTCAAAGGAACTTACATTCCAATATTAGAATTATTGGCCGTCTTTATCTGCTGCAAACTCATCGATTTCATCGCTAGCCAAATTGGAGTTCATGAAGAAACACCACAATATCTGTGGTCTGATAGCAGAACTGTCATTGACTGGATCAAAAACTGGACTGGACAAAAAAGAGCAGCAATGATTTATCCAAAATCGTTTAGAAGAAATCAGAAGACACCAACATGCGTTAATTCGTTATGTCCCCTCAAAAATCCCGCAGATGATATTTCAAAGGGAATGTCTACGAAGAAGTTAAAATTTTCTCCGTTGTGATAGAAGGGTTCTGGATGAGCTACAATCAGGAAAATTGGCCAAAGGAGCCCCGCAATGAAATCATCCATCAAACCGTTACAATTTTCTCAGAAAAGCAAGTTAAAAATGAAAGAATAAAGGTAATTAATGATACATTTCGTCTCAGTAATTGGCGGAAATTAATCGGAACAGTCGTATACGTAATAAAATTTGTAGCAAAAACATCAGAGAAGATTCGAAGGCTAGATCACATCAGGCACAGGAGGTGGAATATGAAACTTCTGGCAAAAACATGATTAATTCGTCAATCTCAGTCGGAAGAAATAACTTCAGAAGATTTATTATATTGGGAACTTCATCAGGACGAGAATAATATCTATAGATGTAAAGGTCGTATTCCCAATAATGTAATATTCCTTCCTAGAAAGATCAAAGTCACCGAACTCATTATCTTGCATCTTCACACAACTCATGGTCACTGTGGTGCAACATACACGCTGGCACTACTACGGCAAGAGTATTGGATTTCGAAGATAGATGAGCTGCAGGAGATGGATTAAACCATTTAAACTATCCGACATGCCCAATTTGCCGGTTTACAGAATTCAGCAACAACGACCCTTTAGATCAGTTGGTCTAGATCTTTTTGGATCTTTTAATGCTCGGAAAGAAACCACGGTCGTTAAGAGGTGGGCGGTCACTTGCTTGACAACTAAAGCTGTATACCTAGAAATGGTCTGGGATTTATCAGCAGCTGCATCCTTCATCCACATATTTCGTAAATTCTCAGCCAAGTGGGATTCACCAACTATGATTATATCTGATAACGGCACGAATTTCGAATCAGCAGCTAAAATACTCAGTTTCCAACTGGTGGAAGGGAACGTAGATTGGAAATTTATAATGCCACATGCGCGCTGGCAAGGAAGAGTTTATGAACGAATGAATGGCATAACGGTCATGATAGGCAGAAAATTGCTGAAGAAGAATTGAGAACGCTTTTAGTGGAAGTGGAAAACATTGTTAGGGACATTTATGAGACATGACCATTAACATATGTTGTCGCCAAAAGGCGAAAAAAGCTATAAATTTAAGCAGACCAATCGGATTCCCGCCCATCTTAAATTAAATATAAGCTGCCAGAAGATCAATTTTGGTCATTTTTAATATTTTAATAGGGAAAACGAGTGGGAGAGCGATGGGTGAGTGATGGGCATTTAGTTTGTATATTTGATTTCCTCGACTGTATTATTTGGTTGTAGTAGGGCAATTACTTCGCTTTATTTTCTTGTATATAACAAAGGTTTAATTAGCCAAGTTTGAGGTTCGTAACGAGAAAAGTAAGAAGTAGAACGCTGGCCGCAGAGTATAATATTGATAAAAAAGAAAATTTCCGTGTGGCAAGAAAGGAAAGTTAAATCTGTACAGAAAAAAAATAGTGGAGCGGATTCCCAAAAGGAATTGTTGTAAAGGTAGAATATTGAAAGGGAATCGTCTTGCTCTCAACGAAATTTCCGTACTGCTATAAAATTCCTCCTTTTCTTACATATGTCACAGAAGAACCTTGCGAAATTGTCCGTCTTATTGATTTGATTTATCCAGGAATGCAGGGAATAAGAAACTGAATAAGGATGAGAATGAAGATTATGGCAGACCGGAAAGTTATAGTTGAGGTGCGCTCTTAAAAGGATGGAAAGAATCTGAAAAATTACTCCAAAGATTTTGGGAAGTGTGGCGGAAGGATTATATCAACCTACTTCGAGAAAAAGCTAAACGTCAACATGCAATCCCCATTCGAATGTGAATAAAAGCCCAAAAGTAAATAAGGTCGTTTTACTATGTGAGGAGAATAAAGATAGAAAGATTTGGCAGTTGGCTAGAATCGTCGAAGTAAATGATGAGTTTCAGGGAAAAATTCTAAATTCCCATAAGATAAGATCGGCAAAGATTAAGTTGGCCGATAGTGAAGAATTAATCAGACCAATACCCCTCCTCTAGAAATTACGGAGGAAGAGGGACCCGTCTCTAAGGGACACTCTACACCCTGAGACACACCATTAGGGGATCAGGATATGATGGTCTTAAGGAAGAGAGGTTCCCAGATGTGTTAAGTCTCATATTAGACAAAAAACTCTACATGCACTTGTGCAAAAGAGAGAAGCATCACTTAAACAAGTCAGATTCTTTATTCTTATTGTAGCGACCTTCTTGTATCAACGGCGTGCATGGACAGGTTCTCAATTTCTGTAATGATCTCAAGGAAGATGATATTTTGATAATAAAGATAATAATAAAGAAGAATTTATAAATGAATCAATTCTTAAGAATAATCGAGATCATTATTATCTTATTAAGCCCCGATGGAAACTGATAGGGATGCTTGCTCATGGCAGTATTTATATGTATACCAGAATTTGTCAGGCGGCAGTGTCGCCGAAAGGCGAAAAAAGCTGTAAATTTGAGCAAATCATTCGGATTCCCGCCCATCTTAAATATAAGCTCCCAAAAGATTAATTTTGGTCATTTTTGTTTTAATAGGGGAAACGAGTGGGAGAGCGGTAGGTGAATGATGGGCATTTAGTTTGTATATTTGATTTCCTCGACTGTATTATTTGGTTGAAGTAGGGCAATTACTTCGCTTTATTTTCTTGTATATATTTGCATCTTTACTAACAAAGGTTTAATTACCCAAGTTTGAGGTTCGCAATGAGAAAAGTAAGAAGTAGAACGCTGGCCGCAGAGTATAATATTGATAAAAAAGAAAAGTCCCGTGTGGCAGGAAAGGAAAGTTAAATCTATACAGAAAAAAGTAGTGGAGTGGGTTCCCAAAAAGAATTGTTGTAAAGGTAAAATATTGGAAGAGAAATCGCCGTGCTCCGAGCGAAAATTCCGTACTGCTATAAAAACCTTTTTTCTGTACATCTATTATAAATTCAAAGAACAAATGAATTAAATTTTAAATTTTAAAAAGAATATTCCATCTATATGCACTGAATTTCTGAACTGTCTGGGACACCGACCAAACTAAATTAGTATAAATTAGTATGAAAAAAGTAAAAATAAAAAATCTTGAAATTAAAACCATATCAAAGTTGGTAGGTAGTATATCGAAGGCCGCTCCCAAGTTCAAACAAACCAGTTCAACAGAAACCAGTTTCAGTTTCACAAATAGGAGAGAATCGGGAGAAATTGTCAAGCAATTAAAATTTACAATGGAAAAACAGCAACATATGGGGGTCTTGACGTAAAGTCGTAAATTTATGCAAAAAGCAAATTAATAGTTACATAATTAATCACAATATGTTTAGGTTCTTTTTTCAAGGCAGTCATTCGCACTAATAAAAATAAGTGGTTATCCTCCACTTTTGACTCGCTACGTTGGTTAGATTGAAGGTAAATAGCAAAAATAAAAGGAAAAATTAAGATAAAAATAAATGTGTTAAATATACAAGTAAATAGTCAATAATAGCCGCAAAATAAAATTTTTTACCTCATGTGGGTGGAATTTCTCAACCTTGTTCTTCTACCAGAGATTGAGGGTATTTTAAGTGTCCCTGGCAGTGCGATCTTCTGAATCGATATAAATATATAAATATAATACATGATAAATATATATGCATGATAATCAGCACACGTCATTTCTGGTTAGTTTCTCTCAGCTAAGTGTTTTTAAGGAAATTTTTTAGTTTGCCGATAGAAATGCAGTTTGTTAGCATACTATCCGGGTTCGTTGGCGAGATTATTCCTGCAATGAGTAGAAGTCGAATTTTTATTTTTACATGGTAATCTGGACCAGTATCATTTGTTCGACTATCTTGTTTCGAATGTGTAAAGATTTTCTGTCATGATGGAAAGAATTTTTTGGGAATATTTCCAAATTTTTCCGGAGAGGACAAAATACAAATATAAT